CGTCCTCTCCTCGTCCTCGTCCTTCGTCCTCGTCCTCGTCTCCTCCCCCTCCCCCTCCCCCTCCCCCTCCCCTCCTCCTCCTCCTCCTCCTCCTCCTCCTCCTCCTCCTCCTCTCCTCCTCCTCCTCCTCCTCCTCCTCCTCCTCCTCCTCCTCCTCCTCCTCCTCCTCCTCCTCCTCCTCCTCCTCCTCCTCCTCCTCCTCCTCCTCCCCCTCCTCCTCCTGGCCCGCAACACTCGCCGTGCTCCCGCAGCCCGCCCGCCGCCCCACGCGGAAGCGCGGGCGCCTCCTCGCGGTAGATCCTCGCCGCCTCGCGCGGCACGGGAGCCACGCGGCTCGGGAAGAACCAAGGGGCGCTGCCACACGCGGAGGAAGAGGAGGAGGAGGAGGAGGAGGAGGAGGAGGAGGAGGAGGAGGAGGCGGAGGAGGCGGAGGAGGAGGAGGAGGAGGAGGAGGAGGAGGAGGAGGAGGAGGAGGAGGAAGAGGGAGGAGGAGGAGGGGAGGGGGGGGAGGAGAGGAGGGGTGGACGTTTTGCATAGCCTCATGGCCCGCAGCCCGGCCGCGCGCCGCCACGGGAACCGTGGGGGCCGGCCGGCCTGGGGGCGGCTGCGCCGCCGCAGGAGTGCGGGGCGCCAGCATGGATCCTGAATGCGTCCACGCTGGCGCCTTCCGCGTCCATCGGGAGCGGCCAAGAGGGGGGTGTCCAAGAGGGGGGTGCAAATCATGACCGGCGGCATGTGCGCGGCCCAGCGGGGGGGCCAGGGACGTAATGAAACACGAAGAGGCACCATGAAACCTGGGGAAATGTCATGGCCCCCGCCATGATATTCAACCCCCCTAGTCATCACCCCCCTCTTTTCCGCCCCCGAGTCCACAAAAGGAGAGAAATGAGGCCGGAGAGGAAGAGGGACCAGCTCAACATATCTCTGCGGGGAGCTGGCCGTCCTCCCAATCCATGGTGCGGCTGGCAACTGGGCGAGCTGACGGACCCACCATTGCACCCGTGCGGACGAATTTTTCAGCGAATGCCTCGCCCAAAGACTTAGATCGAAAACGTGTCGAGGTCTACCGTGGTTCCCGCCTTGTTCGGGCGGAGTCCGCGTTTCAGCTTCGCCCGCGGGTCGTTATGCAGGACAACTTCGTCTGGCTCGCACCGCTTTCCCAGTATTGGCCAGGTTCGCGCGAAACGTGAAGTAAGTGCATGTCTGGCATATACAGGACGTGCCATCGGAGCAGCTAGAGCCAGCGCGCTGACTGGCAACCTCCTGGGATACAAATGGTTGCGGACGCAGCAAATGCAATGCACGAACTACCGAATGGCACTGCCCACGCGCCCATGCGCTTCCCGCGAAACACGTCGATCATCGACAGAAGCGCCAGCCCAATTACACTGGTGAGGGGTGCTTCGCACGCCCCTTCGCTGGGCCCACCCTAACATGCTCGACGACTAGACCAAACTATGGCCGCGGCCAAGACGGTGGCACCGTAGCCGCCAGACGGTATTCTCTCAGGACCCTTGTGCATCAAGGGACTGGGCGTGGGACGCCTGAAGGCCGCTGGCTTGCCGCCCAACACTCCCAAAACGCACGTACCGATCCAATCAGCCAATCGCCTGGTCGACATCCTGGCCGGCTTTGCTTTAACGTTCGAACATTGTGCTAGCGCCCACTGACAAGTTGAGCGATGCCCCAGTGCATGCGCATCGCCAAAAACTATTCAGGCCAAGGCAGAATGGCCAACGCCACGGGTTCAGGTAATGTTGCACAATGGCATTTGCGCTAGTAGAAAATTGCGCAGAACTCGGCAAACGACGAAACTCTGCAGCCAGCGGAGAATATAGACGCGCGGCTCGAAAAGGCCCTCGATTGCATGAGGTCTCTACATGCAAGTCTGTCGACTCAGGTGCACGCCCGAAGGGATCGGCTTCGATCGCGGGCGAAGCCCTGGTGCAAGAATCGCCCCCGAATTGTACATTCTCGGAGGCGCTGATGAGATTTCAAAACTCCCCACTACAAGCTCCTCGCCGCTTGCAAGGCTAAGCGACGCGCGGGAAGCAACCGCTCCGTCTTCCGCCCCCAGAAGCCTGAATCTGCACACGACCGTGAACGACTTCGTCGAGCAACTCCTGCAACGACTGCTCATGCCCGAACGATGCCGGGTGGCCGAGAGGCAGAAGGTGGGAGGTCAAATTTAAGGCAGCGCTCGCGCGGGCTTCAACACTCCCGCGGATGTCGGGGAAGCCGACGTCATTGGCAGCACGCGCGAAGCACGAAGCACGCCCGCACGTGGGCACCGCCCAGGGTTTGCGGGGCACGAAGCCGACGTCATGGGAGGTGGAAGCAACGAGGTGCCTCCTCCACCCGCATGTTGGAGGAGGAGAAGGGAGGAGGAGGAGGAGGAGGAGGAGGAGGAGGAGGAGGAGGAGGAGGAGGAGGAGGAGGAGGATCCTCCCATCGCGAGCGCCCGAGAGCGAAACGCCTCGCCGCCTGCCCGTGCCCGTGCACCGACAAGCTCCGGGGGGACTCTCCACTGCAGGCCGCGCCAGCAGCAGACCCGCGGGCTCGGCGTGCCTCGAGCTCCGCGGCCCGGAACGGCTCCGAGCTGTGCCTGCCCCCCCCCCCTCGCGAAGCTCCTTTCAAGGGGCCCCAGGACACACACACACACACATGAAGACACACGAATAGAATGACTCCCCATATTTTCCCAACACTTTCTGGGTTGTTTGTCTTCCCGCCCGCGTATTTTCCTAGATTTTCTTGGGGAACGACGATTCATTGTGTCTGTGTGTTTTTGTTCCCCTCGCGGAGCTCCTTGGCGGACGCCGCCGCGTCGTGAAGGCGTGCGTGCGCGGCGCCCTCGGTGTCCTCGCCTCGAGGCCTCGAGCCGCGCAAAACGTCAGCGTCTTCCCCTCGTCGCCCACTGCGGCCTCGCCTCCGGTGCCAGGGCGTGTCCACGTGCATGGGGCTACAGGGTAGTAGTTTTTTTTGTTTAAATGATATGGGTTTGTTGTTAATGTGATTTTAATGTATCATTAATTTATGAACAATTGGATGCATGAACTCATCGTTGTTTTCAATGCTAACTCCCTGCATGTTTAATACATGATCCGCACGCGGAGCATGTACTAAAAACGGCACTGTATCAATATGCATGGGGCTAGGTGCATCTGAAGGAGCCCTGGGACACACAAAGAAATACACACAAATAACAGGATTCCCACTATTTTCCTATAATTTCCGTGTTTTCGTCTTCCCCCACGCTTCCCATATTTTCCTGGGAGTCGACGATTATCTGTGTCTGTGTTTCTTCACCTCCTGAGCATCTGTAATTAAGCCACCACTTGGGGAGAGGGCGTGGTGCCTGACGTTGGTGCTGGGCGATGCCGGAGAGCAGACGGTTTCCCGGGTGCAGCTGCCCCAGCGGCTCGTGCAGTTCCTCGGGCGTATGCCCTTCGCTGGGCAGCTCTGCAGCTCGACTCTTTCGTGTTGCCAGTTCCGAATCCGTCTGGTCATATGTCGTTTCTGTGCCCCGCGTACGTGGATGCGCCCGCATAGGTCCAGAGGCCTACGCGGGCACAATGCACGTATGGAGTGTCGAAGCCCTGTCAGCACGGGCGCTGCCGAGGGCCACTCACGGCCTCCTCCCGTCTGTGGGAGTCCGCCTCGCCTGGACATAGCACGTCTGGAACGCAGTGGCCACCCTCTCGAGCGCCAATCTGCGAGCCGCTTCGGACTCACCGCTGTTCATACCTGGGCGCTCAAGCACATTTTTTCCGTCGGCAGCGAGGCAGAGTTGGCTGCACCAGCGCTAGAGCTGGACTTCTGTCGGGCCTGTCCCCCATACAGGGGGATCTTGGACGAAACATAAAAAACTCAAACAATACTCGACAGATGCCCAAGCATATAAAAAATAGTCCCCAGACTATGTTTGACTACTTTTGAATATCCCCCCTGTAGAGGGACACGCCCGACTCAAATCTACAGTCGGGGCGTTGCCCTAAGGAACCCTAAATAAGGAACGAGGCCCCTTTTCTCCATAAGTTAAACTTCGATGTCCCATCGAAAACCAAAGAAACATCCAATGCAAACTGTGAAACACTCAAGGAACACGGAGCCCTTCCCCAACGAAAAGGATTCCTTCTTCAGGGCCCCGACTGCATCACCCCTGTAGAGGGACACGCCCGACTCAAAGCTAGACGGGGGCACCGAAACGCGAATCGGCCAGCGTGCAAGCGCGGGACGGGGGCGGGCACGGCGGCTGCGGGGGGGGGGGGCGCTCGAGCAAACACGCCGGGGCCGGGCAGCTCGCTCCTTGCATCTTGCACATGCCTTCTGTGGGGCGTGTCCCCCTGCAGGGGAATTTTCGACGAAAAATAAGACATGCTCCAAAACTACTCCGAAATGGTCCATCAATGCTCAAAACAGAGTCCCAGTATTATGTTCGGATTATTTTGTGTGGGTATTTCTTATTTTTCGCTTAAAAAAAAAACCTGTAGGGGGACAGGCCCGACTTCACACATGCCTGGCGATGCACTGTTGACCTGGTGCTGACGCGGGGGGGGGGGTCGGCGTCCAAGGCCCGTCTGCTTCTCGGCCAGCTGCACCATTCGGCAGCGGCCAAGAGGGTGGTGCCCAAGAGGGGGGGTGCAAATCATGACCGGCGGCATGTGCGCGGCCCAGCAGGGCGGCCAGGGACGCAATGAAACAAGAAGAGGCGCCATGAGATCTGGGGAACTATCATGGCCCACGCCATGATATCCCCCCCCCCTAATCATCACCCCCCTCTTTTCCGCCCCCGACCCAAGAAGGCCAGGCGGGTGCTCCTGGAAGCCTTCTCCTTCGCCCGCCACCCCCCTCCCGTGCCACCGCAAGGCTTCCAAGCAGGGTGAGGCTTCCAAGAAGCCTTCCCCGTCGCCCGCCACCCCCAGCCTTCCCCTTCGCCCGCCACCTTCGCCCACCACGCCATGATACCCAGCCCCCCCTAGTCATCACCCCCCTCTTTTCCGCCCCCGAGCCATGCTCTTGTTCTCTCGGCGCCCCCGGTGCCGCCCGCGGGGCGCAGAGCCGCCACGAGCCCCGGGGGCCTCGGCCACCTCGGCCCCTCTCGGCAACCTCGGGGCTCCGACGGGGCATCCTTGAGGCTGCGCCGACTGCGCAGGCACAAACGAAAAAGAAAGAAGAACAAAAGGAGAACTCCTTTCTGATCGCGCGCTCGGTGTCGCGCCTTTGCTTGCTTGTCGCTGCATGATTTGTAGGGACCGCGCCCCGGACTTACCTTTGACGCCTCCTGCGCTTTCGCTTGCGGCCGCGACAAAAAAAAGACTGCGCAGGCATACGGTTCTCTAGAACCGGTGAGAGGCAGCTGACAAGCGCGAGCACGAGGAGGAAGGTCGCTTCGATGCGAACGTCTCCCCAACTCGAGCCCGGAGGCGGGCCGTGCTGGTCGTCCCGCGTCCCCTGCGGAGAAGCTTGCGGGTCGAATCGGGCTTGACCACACAAGCCCCGCAAATCTTGCACTGTTGCAGGTGCTCTTTTCGCGAGACCCTTGAGCATTTCCACGTGGGGCCGCCGCCGTGCGGCAGCGGGTCCCGGCGGGGGCAGGAGGCGCTTCGAAGCACGACCGCCCTCCTGCGCCCGTCGCCCGGGGCGCACTGCCACCCCAGCGACACGCTTGGGGGGGTGGGGAGGGAGGAGTGCCTGCCAGAACACCCCCGCCGAACCCGAGGAACATAACTTCCGGAGAGTGCGGATTGCAACATGTTTTTCAATGGGGGCAAGTTGGAGCCTTCGGCCTGAGGAGTTCGCGGCGAATCCAGGTGGCGGCGAGCCTCCCAGGAGGCCCCAAACGTGCAAAAAGAGGGCAAGGCATCGCTATGCCCTCCCCCTCATTATTCCTGACCTTTCGCCCTAACCTACCGCCTTTTTTTCGATCTCATCTACGTGGGCTTCCTTGACTTGCGCAAGGCTTCCATGAATTTAGATGAACTCTTCCGCACCTTCCGCGGAGGTCGGAAGGTATAGTATGGAAGGTGGAGGTAGAGGGCGGGTACCTCTTCCTCCTCTGAAACACCTGCCACGCCTCATAGACGCCATCCAGCGGTGGCGACGAGGGCCTCCCAGCGGTGGCGACGAGGGCCTCCCACGAGGCCCCAAAAGAAAGGGAATAATGGGAAACCATACGGTATGGGTACCGTCAGACCTAGACCAAGAAAACATCCTTTAAGAACATGAGACCCTCCACCGGCCAAAATGAAGAGCACTCGAAGGTACCCACCCTCCCCAAGGACGCACAAGAACATCCAACAGACACAAAGAGCACCAGGGCACCCTCCCCGATCCGACCTCGACCTTATACCTCGGTCCAACTGTAAAAATAAATCGAAAATCTCTGAGATCTGGCGGATCTGGAAAAGGTCTCAGGCGCCGGATCCGGAACATGGCTCTTCCGGCCTTCTCAGAGCGTTCCGGAACGTTTTGAAAGCGTTCCGGAACGCTCTTACACAGACTGATCCTCGTCGCCCAAGGTTCAGGGCTGAGCTCTGCATCGGCAAGAGTGGGACCCCGGAGGAGCCTAACGAGAAGCAGCACGACCAGGAGGGCCGGCTCAGCATCAACAACAGCCTGCATAGAACTTCAAAGACCCTCACGAGGCGCAGCGACAGAAGAAGGGTCCACTGGGCAGGAACCAGCCGGTACACCCTGCGAAATGCTTAAGAAATCATGGGTTAAGAAATTCATAGTCTCAGAAATGGAATAAAACCCAGAACTTCTATCAAAATCTTGGGATTTATATTGAAAAATTAAGAATAATCGAGACTCTGGACGAAAACTTAGGTTTTCTTAAGCATCGCCTAAGGTGTACAGCAGCTCATCGAAAACGAGCTGTGGAGATGCTGCAAGGGCGTGGTCGTGCACTGACGGATTTCATGGAGAAAGCGCTCTTGGAGAGCCACCCCCTGGATGAGCGCGCCGTCGTTCGGGGCGCGCCTACCGCTAGGTCGGGCAAGTCCTCCCACAGGCGGATCTTGGAGGGCAAATAGAAAATCGCCAATACATTCACAAACCATCAAACAATAGTCGAAACGTCGTCCCCGAACTTATTTCTGGAGGCCTGGAGATGGGCACCAACACCAACACAGGGGGTTGCCTCCACAGTGGGAAGACGATCCTAGATTTCGATGATGGTGGTACTGTTTCGGTCACCCTGGAAGCCAGAGCACCACCACCATCACCGAGATCGGGATCTTCTTCCCCCGGTGTTAGTGTCAATCTCCAGGCCTGCGATATCTTTTGCTACCATTCTGGAGCGCTCCACCTGTAAGTAAAGGGAAATTAGGACACACAAATAAATACACACAAATAAAAATATTCCCCATATTTTCCTATATTTTCTGGGTTTTTGTCTTCCCGCCCACTTCCCATATTTTTGCATATTTTCCTGGGAGTCGACGATTAATTGTGTCTGTGTGTTTTCTCCCCTCCTGACAGACGGCCCGCGCTTCGCGCGCTCTCCTCGAGCGAGAAGCGCGGGCGCCGGGGCGGGCCGCCGCCGGCGCGTGCGCGGCGAGGCTCAGGCGTGGCTTGAATGAAGGGGAACTGGGACGCACAAATAAATACACACAAATAAAAGGATTCCCCATATTTTCCTATATTTTCTGGGTTTTTGTCTTCCCGCCCAATTCCTATATTTTCCCATATTTTCCTGGGACTCGACGATTAATTGTGTCTGTGTGTTTTTGTTTCCTCCTGAAGGTCATCAATGGGGGGGTCAGAAGCGGTCCCCTTGCGTGCCCCGTTCGGGCCCCTCCGGAGCCCCGAGGGGCTCGCTTAAGTACCGTTCGGGCACCTCTTCGGACCCCCCCTCGCCCCCCCCCCCCCCCCCCATTCCCTGACCTTCCAGAGAGCTCTATTCTTTAGCACGGGAGGCCCAGAGACCTAAACAACGAGACGAGACAGCCCGAAACCAAGACATAGAATAGCTCTGGGATAGGTTTTTAAGTCGCGCGCTATTTTATTGCCCTCCTGGAAGTTCAGGGTTTATGGCCCTCCCACTGCGCGATGGCGGCTCTCGGCTGCCCCCCGGCGGGCGCAGGCAGCGCCACGGCGCGCGCGCTGACCGCGCCAGGGCGAGGGCCGCTGCTCTCCCAAACGAGCGCGCGCTCCACGACTCGCAGAGCAGCCGCTCGCAAAAGGGCCTGGATTCCTCTCAGTGGGCCCTGGAAACGACAGGGCCGTATTTTTATCGGTTCTGTCCTGCCGTTTTTTTGCCGGTTCCGACGCCGTTGTTTTAGCGGTTCCGTCGCCGTTTTTTGACCGGTTCCGGCTCCGGTTCCAATCCTGGAGCCGTTTTTGTTGCCGTTTCTGGTCGCCTTTTTTTGCCGTTTCCATTCTCAAGGGACACTTTTCTGGAAACGGTAAGAAAAACGGCCCTGCCGTTTCCGGGCCCACAAAGGCCTGGATCCGCCGCGGGGGACCTGCGATGCATTCCATCGGAGCAGACACGTGTTTTTTTTTTTTCACGCCCGTTTTCGCCAGGGGGCAATGAAAAGCAGTCCTATCGCATCAGCGCAGGGAGATGGGACGATGCGAGGCGTCGGGCGAGGCTGGTCAGCAGGAGAGGGCAGCGACACTTCTTCTGATATGGATTGTTTGACCAATGCACACGCCTGGGCCACGCCTGGGCCCCACACGCCTGCACAAGCCTGCGCACGCCGCTCCATGGCGGCAAGTGTAAGGCATGGACGGCATGGGTATCAAAATTGCCCATGGCATCCGCGACGGCAGCAACGGGGCTGAGATGGGAGGCGGCGAGCGCGGCTGGTCAGCCGGAATGGCAGCGCCACTTCTTGTGGGACTTGACCACTGCGCACGCTCGGGCCATGCCCGGACTAAGTATGGTTCCCACAACTGTTTGCTGATCGATGTGTGTTTGCTTGCCTCTCGGGTTCAACATTTACCCTCTTGAACGCTCCTAGAGGATCCCCACGTGCTGCTTCATAAATGCGAAGGAAATTACAAGAAAAAAGCAAACGAATTAGAAGCAACCCGTGGATGGTCAACCTCCGCAGAGAAGATAATTCGGTCTGAATCATGTGCTCCCACTGGCAGGCTGGTCCCTCACTGCCGGCAGGCCCTAACTGGAGGGGCTGGCATCGATAACAGAAAGAAAGGTGTGGTCTGGGAGAAGGACCTCCCACGTGGACAACTCCGTCGGCCACGACTCGCAGTCCTGGAGTTCTGCGGGGCGGGTGAAAAAGTCCTGATCCGTATACTCCGTCGCATTCATTCCCAAGACGACGCATAGGGAGGAGGAACCGTCGCCTACCACAAACTGCCCCCTGCTCGTGAACGAGAATTTCTGCCTGTCGCTTCCGGAACTGACACAGCTCGTGAGGCTGAAGGTGGACCCAGCTTGAAGGTCTCCGCGGACAGTGAGACAAGCAGGATCCCCATGATGCGCCTTCCATGATCTGCCGTTCGCCGACCCGCTGTACAGCGGGTTGCAACGCTCATTGAAGTTGACGGAACGGATTTGATGCTTGTCGGGGTCGTACTTGAACTGGGTGTCCTCGCCCTCGGTCTTGCAGCTGTGGCCCTGGATGCTGCCGCACTGCGGGTGGGGCGGGGAACCGGCGATGTCCAGGCAATAGCTCCGGAAATTTTGTGGATCCACAATGGTCGCGAGGTAAACGTTGGGCCCAGGCGCGTAAGGGTTGCCCTCCACCTCGGCCTCGGCGCGAGACTCCTCCAGCTCCTCCTCCTCCGTGGGGGCCCGAGAGCCCGTCAGCACCGAGCGCCGCTGAAGGGCCTCGACGCGCGCGGCCGCGTGCTCGCACTCCTGCTGGGTGTCCACCTCCGCCTCAGACCGCGGCGCGCTGGCGGCGCCGAGCGAGGCCGCGGCGGCGAGCCCCGAAGCCACCGCGAGCAGAGCAACGCGGGCCCCCGCGGCCGGCATCTCTCTGTTTGCGCGCGCCGGCCCGCCTGGCCACGCGCTGGGAGCACGCGCGGGTCTGCGTGAGCACGCGGCAACCGTATAGACTGCACAAGAATGCTCGAGCCGAAATCCCTTGAGCCAAAATGGCTACGGAATCGGAGCAGACACGTGTTTCTTGCTTCGGACGTGTTGTCCACCACCACCACCACCAGAAGTTGGAGGGGGAGGGGGTCCTCCTCCTCCTCCTCCTCCTCCTCGTCCTCGTCCTCCTCCTCCTCCCCCTCCAACTTATGGTGGTGGTGGTGGAAAACAGGCCCATCATTCGAGAAGGGACCGACCGTCCCAGCATTCCTACAGGCATAATTACCACGAGATGCTCTTAGAACCTACACATGTTCAAATCACAAAAACAAGGCTCTTATAGCATAAGCCCAACGTGTTAACAAAAGACAGTCTCAGCCAGAAATGTTCTAATAACATTTCGTGCAGACCACAAAGGGTCCTTATAACATTTTTTGGTAGGCCTATAGGCGAGCCAGGACGCGTCGCCACTGCTTGAATCATCGGCTGCCCTCCGGCGGGCGCATCGCCACGGCGCGCTTGCTGACCGCGCTGGGCGAGGGCCGCTGCTCCCAGACGAGAGCGCCTTCCACGACTCGCAGAGCGCAACTGATTGCAAAAGGGCCTGGATCCGCCGCGGGGGATCTGCGATACATTCCATCGAAGCAGACACGTGTTTCTCGTTCCGGGCGTTTACAAATATCGGGGGCGGTCAAGAGGGGGGCGTCCAAGACGGGGGGGCGCCAATCATGGCCGGCGGCACGTGCGCGGCCCAAAGGGCGGGCCGGGGACGCAATGAAATGAGAAGAGGCGCCATGAAACCTGGGGCGATATCGTGGCCCCCGCCATGATATTCCCCCCCCCCCCTACCCTGACCTTCCAGGAGGGCTAAAAAATAGCACGCGACTTAGAAAACGCATCCCAGAGCTATCCTATGCGTTGGTTTTAGGCTGTTTCGTTCAGTTTTTTAGGTTTTTAGGCCTCCCGTGCTAAAAAATAGCTCTCTGGAAGGTCAGGGTAGTCATCACCCCCCCTCTTTGCCGCCCTCGGCGAGGGACAAACCTCCCTTTAGTAAACCTCCCCTTAGTGAAAACGGCCTGGGACCGAAACCGACGGACCTGGACCCGGAAAACGACGGCCACGACGCCCTCTCGCGAACCGAAAACGGCCAATTTCTCAATCGACGTGTCGGGGCAGGAGGTCTATCCATCTCCGACCCTCTTCGCTGCCCCCGAAAAAAAGGCACCCTGCGAGCGGTGGAGCGCGTCCGGTGGTCTCCAGCCGCGACCGCGCCGCCCGGCCGGCGCTGCAGGGCGCCTCGCGCACGGGCCCGTGGAGACTGCGGCCCGGGCGCGAGGCGCCTGGTCCTCGTCCTCCTCCTCCTCCTCCTCCTCCTCATCCTCCTCCTCCTCCTCCTCCTCCTCCTCCTCCTCCTCCTCCTCCTCCTCTTCCTCCACTTCCTCTTCCTCCTCCTCTTCCTCTTCCTCCTCCTCCTCCTCCTCCTCCTCCTCCCTCCTCCCTCCTCCTCCTCCTCCTCCTCCTCCTCCTCCTCCTCCTCCTCCTCCTCCTCCTGGACGGAGCAGCGCCTCGCAGAGAGAGGACGGGCCTCGCACCCCCTGGATGGACGAGCGCGCTCTCCACGACTCGCAAAGATGGGGACTGCTCGCGGATGGCCATGCCATCGGGGCGCGAATGTGTCTGTCAGGACGTCTGCGAGCAGGCCCTTTGCGAGCAGTGGAACGCGCTCCACGGTTCGCACAGTGAGGGACAATTGCGACCCATTCCATCGAGGCGAGCATGTTATTTTTCCGGACGTTTGCGAGCAGGCCCTTTGCGAGCAGTGAAACGCGCCGGGGGAACCCCGGCGCATACGGCGCAGGGCCTCTCTTCTTCGGGCACGGAGGCTCTCCCGAGCAGGGTTGGCAATCTCGTTCGCACGCCCATCCCCCGTGCATTGTTGTTCGGCGTGGTGCGCTGCTTTGTGGGGAAGCCAAAATGTACCGTACGGCTACACCCCGGACCTCTCCTGGGATGCGTTCTGACCAGAATTTCGAGGAGAATGCAGCGGTGGCGACGAGGGCCTCCCATGAGGCCCAACGAAGGGACAAACGGGTAGAAGGCAGGGGTATGGGTACCTTTCCGTCCTCTGACTCTTCCGCAAGATGCTGTACAGGCCCGCCCCGAGAACAAAGTGCGCACACGACCGAACGATGCCAAAGAGCCAGGGTCGGAAGCCGGGCAATTGGCTGCTAAATCCGTGGCTGCTAAAATCGACCTCCGGGAAATTGTCTTCGTCCTTCCGGGAAGGAGCTTGTGGGCCCTGGAAACGGCAGGGCCGTTTCTTCACCGTTTCCCCAAAAAAAACAAAAATTTGACCCATTTTTTTGAGTAAGACGAATCGGAAATCCTGGCGGAATCCTGACTCCTTCAACACGGCCCTGAAAAACCCTTGAAATGGAAACGGCAAAAAAACGGCGACTGGAAACGGCAAAAAACGGCTCCAAGATTGGAGCCGGAGCCGGAATTGGTCAAAAAACAACGACGGAACTGGTAAAACAGCGGCGTCGGAACCGGCAACAAAAACGGCAAAATGGAACCGGTAACAAAAACGGCCCTGTCGTTTCCAGGGCCCACTATATGGCCGTGCCGCATTCCTGGAAGTTGTTTCTTCCTTCCGGGAGGGCCGTTTTGGCAGCCGCGGTCTTATCGGCGGTGGACAAACCGACCTTTAGTAAACATCCCTTTAGTGAAAACGGCCTGGGGCCGAAACCGACGGACCTGGACCCGCAAAATGACGGCCACGACGCCCCCTCGCGAACCGAGAACGGCCAATTCCTTAATCGACGTGTCGGGGCAGGAGGTCTACCAACCTCCGGTTTTAGCAGCCCTCGCCGAGCTTTCGACAGGGAGCTGGAGCCCCTGGGGCGCGCAGGGCCTGCGGTCGGCAGCGGCCAAGAGGGGGGTGTCCAAGAGGGGGGTGCAAATCATGACCGGCGGCGCGTGCGCGGCCCAGTGGTGGGGCCAGGGACGTCATGAAAGAAGCAGAGGCGCCATGAGATCTGGGGAAATATCATGACCCCCGCCATGATATCCCCCCCCTAGTCATCGCCCCCCTCTTTGCCGCCCCCGATGTACGGTCATTGGGGAAACCGAGAGGTACCAATGCCGCAACTCCCCGGACCTCCCCCGGGGTGCGTCCGGAGGAGGATTTTTATTACATATATATATATATATATATATATATGAAAAAAAACGCAGAGGACGTCACCCTTCCAGTTCCGAAATCGGCCCATGATTGCCAGCAGACTGGAGCAGCAGCAGCAGCAGAAGGGGAGGGAGGGAGGAGAGGAAGGAAAGGGTACGAGAGGCCAACGCCCAGCAAAAAGCCGCACATCGGCGACTCGCGGGAGGTACCGCGGTACCTCGCGCGCGGGGAGGGGCGGGACAGTCCCGCCCGCTACCGATCCTCCCGTTCGAGAGTCCTCGGCAGCGGGGGGGCGCACTTGGCAACGGGGGAGGACAGAGTCCATGCCCCACAGGCCGCGGGCGCATGCGACCCAGGCCACCGTCACCTCGACCCGCAACCCAGGCCCAAGGTAACGCCTAGACAACAGTGAGAGGGGGGCATCCTTCCTCCCAGAGGGGCGCAACGGGCACAGTTGATCAAGTCGTCGATGGGGCGGGCGGCGGGGGCGGCAGGGAGCGGCGGGGCGGGTGCTCGCACGTCCCCGCGCGCGCCCCCCCAACCTGGCGAAGACCCAGCCCCAGCAGCAGCAGCAGCACCAGCACAGCGGAGCAGCAGCAGCGAAGAGGACCGAGGGGGAAGGCAGGAAGAAAGGCAGGGGGAGGGCAGGAAGAAAGAGGACCCAACGCAGCCCACCCCACAGGGGAGAAGCAGCAGCAGGGGCAGGGAAAAGAGGGAAGAGACGCAAGCGACAGGAGAAACAGGGGGACACAAAGAGACGCACAAGCACACACGCGCGAGAGAGGAGAAGGAGCGGTCACACTCAGACGATGTCACTTCACGCGGCAGCCCGCCCCGTACGCCGCGCCCTGAACTGGCGAGCGACAACAGTATATCGACGAGCGAGGAGACGCAATCGAGCAACGAAGACATGGGAAGCTGGGGCCCGAGTCTGGCGCCGATGGTGAGCATGAGTCTTCAGGAAGGCATCGAGGACGGCGGCGCAGGCAACGTCGCGGTCGAGTCACCAAGAAGGCCCCACCAGACAGAGACATGTGAGCCATGTATCGCGGTGAAGCCACATCTCCATCCACGGCGCGGGTAAGGCCTCCAAACCAAGGAGACGGTGCAGCGCCAGGTCACGGAAACGATCACAGAATTTGTCGTGGAGTCGGTCATCAGGGGCCGCACAACCAAAGCAGCAGCCACGGTCATTCGCATGAGAACGCGCCGAAGTACACACGCCCCTGGACAGTACGCGGAGAACGTTGGTAGCGAGATGAGTGCTCGTGGCACGCTCCACTGCGCGCAATCTAGTCCGCAGGCGGAACATATCCTCGAGGGAGACTGCAACTAACCACCGCGATACCCGCTCACCCAGACACAGTAAGGGAGTGGCCGTCATACGAACCGAACGTAAGTGACGATGGACCTGGGCCTGGATAGTACGGGCTGTCCGATCAATGGGAGAATTCACAATGTCCGCCGCGTCCTCATTCGTCGTGCGTATCATCGAACGGCACCACCATCCAGAGAACACCCGAGCAGGGATAAAGTCATCATCGGTCAAGCCACTCGCTAAGCCCTCTAACTCATAAAGAGCATCGTCTAACGCCTTGCACCGCATCACTACCCGAAACTTCGTTGCTTTGTCATACAGCCCCAGGTCCACAAACTCAAGGGAGATCCCCAGATCACGTAACTGAATGATCATACTGTAATTCAACGCATGCCGAGGCCCCGCGGTTAAGATCTGCAACGCTTCCCTATACTGACGCCGAACCGCAGGGGTGACCCTCACCAGCTGAATCCGATACTGCAGGACGGAAAGGCAATTCGAGTGGAACAGACGGATAGTGGTCGCCAAGCCCAGCGAGAAAGAGCGAAGAAGACGAACTCGCTGCCAGAACTTATTCACCGTTTCCACCCAGGCCACCTCATGGGCCGACGGGCCCACGCAGAATCCGAGGTACAGTACCCTGGA